AATATCAAAGCAATTGGACTTGCGGTTTTTAACAAGAAGTTGAAAATATCACTTTTTACCAAAAATTACAAAAATATTCACCAAAATTAGAAAATTAAAGATATCATTACAAAATGAACAAATCTGAGAGAAGTCCACATGGAGTACCTATATGTGTAATATCAAAGCAATTGGACTTGCGGTTTTTAACAAGAAGTCAAAAATGTCACTTTTTACCAAAAATGACAAAAATATTCACCAAAATTAGAGAATTGAAGATATCATCCTGAAATGAACAAATCTGAGAGAGGTCTACCCAAGGTACATATACACCGAGTATCAAAGCATTCAGGCTTGTAGTTTTCAAGAAGAAGTCGAAAAAGTAAAACATTGGCACGGACGACGGACGACGACGGACAATCACTCATATGATAAGCTCCGCTCGACGAAGTCGACAGCGGAGCTAAACAGAAAAGAATATGTTTATTTGTTTATTTATGCAAAATATTTATCATTTTAATGCCAAAATTCAAATTACATTTACCCGGTAGTTACTTCAGACCAATAGGAATGAAGTGACACCAATAAAATTAATTGATCACTAAGATACATGTATACTTACAATTTCTGATTGTCAATGCATATAAGATTAGTCAGTATTCCCGCTACAGAAGCAAGTATGGGGAATTTATCTACACCGTCCATTCCAGGCAAATCAACTTTAACAACGTTTTCAAATATATTGCAAGGTGCTATCACTCGGTTTAAAACATGTGTTATCAACTGAAAATGAACAAGATGTGAATTAATGAACAAATCTATATTATAGTAGAAACAATTCATTGTTAATGTTAAAAAACAAAATGGCTGCCAGTCAGCCATTTGTATTGAATCAGTAAACCACTGCATGTGCATATGTCCTGAGTAAAGTACCAAGAATGAACAGATTTGGTCCACGATTGGACAGAGACTGAATTATAAGTTTGCACATTAAGATAAAGAAAACTCAATACTGATGAAGAGTCAATAATTAAAATTATTTACACAATAAGATGCGTTACACAAAGACTACCTGTATATTGGTGTGGAATCTAACTAATCTCAATACCTGCTCTTTATCGTTACAGTAAAAAAATGTACCTGATATAGTCTGCAAAGAATTAATTCCGCTGATGTTCTCGACCAGTCAAGGAACACTTCATGTGCTTTTGCCGTGATAAATTCCAGTACTCTGGTTAATCCAACAGTTAAATCAAAACAAGTACCACATAACTTAAGTTGTTGTGGATCAAGAATATGCGGCTCATTTTTCGATGATATATGTGAAATCTGTGAAGGAATTGCATTTATTTATCTGAATGGTTTCATCCAACCTGTCACTTGCAATCAACCATTTATATAATTTGAGGCATTCAATAATCGCATTTCATTTTCTTATTGTGCTTGCACAATTTCATCATTTATTTTAGCATGTCACATTACGGAAAGAATAAAATATAGTCATTAAATCAGAGATGAAATGAACTACTGTATGTAAATTCCCAACAACAAAAATTTGCATGTTTTTTTGGTAAATTTTGATTAAGAGCTATAGCCACTGGGAAATATGTCCATTTGGTCCAAAAGTAACAAAAGAAAAAAAAAAACATCTTCACTATGGCAGTAAAAATGTGAGATAAATGCACATCTCTTATGTAATGAATGTACTTGGGAATGCTTTAATACTGACAGGTTGTAAGAAAACAGTACTGCACAAAGTGGTTTTATTGTATCTGAATCTTCCCCTTGGGTTAAATAGAAGGTTCTATCTTGAGAAAGTAAATGTATTATAAAAAGTCTTGGGTTCATACCACGACCAGAAAGATGTACAATAATAACATGATATGTAGTCACTTATTTGTTTGCCGTAAATTGAATGACTCCAAAATAATGATGTCATTTGTTAAGTGCACTACCAGTATTCAACAAAATGAAAGCATTGTATAATAACTCACCTCTTGTAGCATGCCAATAAATTCTGAGAATGACCAGTTGAGCTGATTAAGTACAGAGTTCAGGAAGTTAGTGGTGAATTTATCATCTTCCAGTAGAACTTCTCTCACAATTTCTTGAAAAATAGGAGATGGGCAAGGAGCTGAAATAGCATTTGATAACATATTTATTAATAATATATTTCTTAAGTTTTTGTTTTTATGTCAGTGACTACATGTATATAGATGTGATGTCAGTTTAAAAAATTAGAAATCCTAACAAAAATTTAGAATTTAGAAAATAGAATTCAGAAATTAGAAATTCTAGAAAAATTGTGAAATTCTAAATATTGACATAAACCTAAACACAAATTATATTGAGGTGGAAAATCACATATTGCTAACAAAGTAAAACATCTGGCAATTATTATTTTAAGACTGCCTCACACCTGTGTTCATCATAAATTGACATGCAATTAATCTTTGTACTCACTTTGTAATATTGTTCCTTCTTTCTCCTTATCACTCGGCTTAGGCGATAAAATGTGTGGTGGCTTGACATATCGGAAAGCGAAACCATTACCCTAAAAAAAAAAAAAAAAAAAACATTCATAATTTTTGAGATCTGAAAAGCCATTACAGAATTGATAATATTGTGTTATTCAGATATTTACCTTCCATAACCTGACCAGAATCCAATTAGTCTGGGCCCAAGTTCTGCTTTCATAAGGTGATAATAGGGACCTTACCATTGCTACTCGACTGTAGAAACATAACAAGGCAATGACATCATGATAACACACTTATAAGAATCACTTTCCAGTTAACATAAGTTTCTAAACAAATATATTTGTCGTTATCACTTTCCCGGTGTGAGTTTATGATCAATAAGTAATAATTTAATGAGTCAGTATAATATAAATGTGATTTTTAGTTTATATTTGCTTCATTGCAACCTTCCTCACAATCTCAGTATGATAAACTTACTCAGGTCTTGGCATGGATTCCAACAGCGTCAGAGTTTCTTTATTAGCAACATACCACATCATAGCCTGAATGACAGTGTCTTTAATCTCAAATCTTTTGATTCTTTTATCAGCAAAATGACGACTTAAAAAGACGCCATAATTCACCATCAATTCTTGTATGCCTAAGTTAATACGTAATAAAATTGACATAACGATTTACATTCTCATAGCTTTGACTGATTACTGGTGACATGGTTAAGTGCCAGAATCACTCTCTGCCAATAGTTTTGTATTATTCATGTATGTTATATCAACAAATTTCAACAAGGCAAAATTCAGCAAATGTGATAAATAGCCACAGGTACATTGCCAATTACAGTAGGTCTGCCCTACAATACAATGGCATGAAAGAACACTAAAAAGATGACTAAAAAACAAAATTTTGTTAAGGATTTCCTAAAATTTAATTGGCTAAATGAAAATCTATGAAAACCTTGTGTACGCATTTTCGGTTTTTAAACTATGAATCTCAGTTGTACAAATGTATGTATATTGATTCATTACAAACTCAAAATGGCCACAATCATAGAGCTTTATGCTAACATTATTGGGTACTTCTTGCGTTTTGTACAGAAGGACAGACTGTACTCTGTTTTATTCTACTTTGTGAAGCAAATGAAACCCAGAAGTTCCCTGGTGCAAGGCGAACACGCTAACTATTGCCCAGGTAGGGTATAATTTCACTGAACCTGTCTGTGACAATGCATTTGCAGCTATAGTAATTGATGGTTTTCAATAATTACAAGAATTAGTTTCCTTCTTGAAGACATCTTTTCAATTAGCATATAAGACATTACACTTTGTGTTTGGTATATTATTCATTCTGAATTTACAGTGTTTATTTGATTAAAAATTTACACATTTGTGTATCATACATTTTATTTTCCCTTACTTACATATTACATACTTAACATCTCAAATATGAATGCTCAAGCTGA